ATCAGATGTTCTTCGTTGTGACTTTATAAACATTTGATTGACAATAGATCAAAACTAGATGTTCTTCGTTGTGACTTTATAAACATTTGACTGACAATAGATCAAAACTAGATGTTATTCGTTGTGACTTTAAAAAAGTTTAACTGACAATATATCAAAATCAGATGTTTTTCGTTGTGATTTCAAAAACTGACAATAGATCAAAACCAGATGTTCATAAATATCCTCTTTATGTTAGCCCTGCATAAGTCGAGTATGGGTACAGTTTTCTATGATTGCTCAAAATTATTTTCCAAATTATGGAGAGTGATTTTCATTGTGAGATTTAACTAAGTCAGCCAACCGTTAATCATACTGTAATATTTCACTGCTGAAACAGTTTTAAACCTCCCAGTATTTGGGGTAACATAAATATTTAGAAGATTTGTCTGTGTTTTTGTTTGTTGAACTTCGCGCAAAGCTACTCGAGGACTATGTGCGCTAGCCCTCCCTAATTTTGAAATGATAGATCAGAGGGAAAGCAGCTAGACAAAACAACCACCGCCAATATTGAGGTTAGCCTAAAATCAACGAATAGCACCCTATCTACTAGGTCATGCCCGGCCAAAGTATATATAGAGGACTGGTCACAATATACAGCTACAGGCACGACAATCAGTGGACTTTAAACTATTGTATTAGAAAGCTTTTGGTTTCGAACGACAACCAGTAACTGAAAAGATATTTGTATTTTATATTTTCCCCAAAGAACACATTCATGTGTGCTTTGTATGTATTGCAGAACGCGCTGTTTTAAGAAGTTTGATTTTGAATGACAATCAATAAGTGAAATAAATATTATTATTTCATATTTTCCCCGAAGAACACATTTTTATATGTTTTGTATAGAAACGTGTTTCAAATACTGCAAAATGTACTGTTTGGAAAGGCTTGTTCTAAACTGTCGTTGATTTTCAAGTTCTAAAAAAGAATATTATATTCATAATTCACAACTGTTAGGACTTTCTAAGTATAGAAAGTTAAGAATCACACATGTATAAAGAGATGATTTTTATCTAACTTTGTTTCTTGTTTCTATCAATACTTATTCATGACACCGTGACATATAGAAAATACAAGTATGTCATTCGTTTCAAACATAGATGTTATTCTACTGATGAATAACAAATACTGAATGAGTTACAAGTATTCAACAGTTGGTATACTGAATGAGTTAAAAGTATTCAACAGTTGGTATACTGAATGAATTACATGTATTCAGCAATTGGTATACTGAATTAATTATAGGTATCCAGCGGTTGGTATACTGATTTAATTATAGGTATTCAGCGGTTGGTATACTGAATAAGTTATAGGTATTCAGCGGTTGGTATACTGAATGAGTTACAGGCATTCAGCGGTTGGTATACTGAATGAGTTACAGACATTCAGCAGTTGGTATACTGAATGAGTTACAGGCATTCAGCGGTTGGTATACTGAATGAATTATAGGCATTCAGCAGTTGGTATACTGAATGAATTATAGGTATTCAGCGGTTGGTATACTAAAATTATGGTTAAAAGTAACTCAACGATCGTTTATGATCGTTGTAACTGAGATTATGTATAAGAGAGAGCATACATACACCTCTCTTAGTTCTCGTGCTTCTGAATCATAGAACTTACAAACACAATATTTATACACAACTATATAGTTTTCAGTTACAATGATTCGTTGAAACAGGCGAGTTTAAAGAAATGTTGTTTAAAGTTTTTAAAATGTTGGTAATCAAGCATGCAAGGGAAATTTGAAAGTTTTAATCATTGCTAATATCATATAAACATGTTTTAATAGAAAGTATAGCACAAAATAATAGATAAAACTGGTTTAATATACCTACACTATTGTACGCAAACATAAAAAATAGATATTTTTTAGTCTTCAGTCATTTTGAACGCTATGATCTGTAGATCAACCTCGATATTTAGGGTAATTCTTAGAAACAAAGAGCACGGTAGAGAAAAAAAAAACAAATTCAAATGAAAATCAAATTTCTAATGTATTTTGCGATTGATAAGAAAATAAGTGTATGTTGTGAAGAAAACATTTAACAGACAGGAAACAATTTAACTCAATCTTACAATAATTTAACTCAATCTTACAATTATTGTTGGATAAAATACATTTTGATTGGGTATACAAAATTATACCATAAAAAATAAATAAAATATAAAATTAAGAAACATTCTACGTTCGAACATCTTTATAGTTTTTCAAAAAAAGAACTTTTTTTTAACCATGAAAATAACCAGGCGTAGGAATACAAATTATACTTATTATTCCGTTTAAAACTGATGAAAATGAAACAACGCGCGCCTTTACTTTTGTTTCTATGTCTTATATGGTTTAAAACATCCGTTCACTTATGAACACAGGTATCAGAGCAAAGCTGTTTGATTTATTAGTAGGCAGCTGCTACACAGTTTAATGGTAGAGTTCCATGTACAGGTGACGAAACGAGTCGTTTTGCATTAATTGATTGGCTTCCGACTGGGCGCAGTGAAAGAGTTGAGAAAACTTGTTAAACAAATGGTTCTCTTAGAATATGCAAATACGTTACTTTCCCTGTAAACTTATGAAAGAATAAATCATGTTAAAGTTAAGAAAAAATCCATGCTGGGAAAAATTATTAAAGCCTTAGAACAATACTGCTGCACCGTATACATCACTTTATTAAGCTGATTAGAGTATCATAATCTAAATAAACTTGGTAATGTTGAACAAATGCAATGACACATGCTTACTCACAGTGGTTTAACAGTTCAACAATAATTACAATGCTGCTGTGTATATCTTCGAATATAAATCTATATTGTAGCTTGCACATGTACAACTGTCACGTATCATTTAATCGTGAACTCTTTCTGTCAACATGTTTACTCTGTGTTAAAACTACTTTCTAGTTTGCACATGTACAACTGTCACGTATCATTTAATTGTGAACTCTTTCTGTCGAAATGTTTACTTTGTGTTAAAACTACTAATAACATACGTATAATATTTTTTTCAAATATCCTTCC